TAAACAATAAAACCATAAACATAGTAATAGTAATTACTTACAATAAAGGTTAAAATTTATTATTATCATGATTATGCCTTTATTCATTCATTCCATCATTTGCTCAATATTCTCCGGGATTCGATGATGTGATTTATACTAATTAATAGCCTACTCAGCAGCTACACCTTTTAGCCCTTTATTATATGCATCCATATATCTCCACGATTTACAGGAAAATTTGTGAATAGTGGTTACAAGAACACTCACAAGAACTTCCGGAACAAGATTTACTAAATTCTTATAATTATAATTGCATAATTTTCTTGCTTCTTGTTTCATAAAACCCCAATATCGTTTGATAAAGTTACACTCACAATAAAACTTTGGATAGCGTTCAAAAATATGCTCTGCATTAATTACAGTTTCTTCTAATAGGGACCGTTGTTCAAGAAAATCAGGCTGCAATAACATGATTCTTTGTGCGTAGCAATCCAACCTTTCTGGACCATTATCAGTACATTTTTCAGAACATTTTTTGCATACTAGCAGAACCTTTCCTGTGGGCCAAAGTTTTCGCTCTTCAAGCACTTGCCTCAAACCTTTTTGCTTGCCTCTTAACTCTTCTTTATGATAATCATTCAGAAATACCATCAGTTGCACACATTTTTTTCTGGTTTCATCAATAAACCAACCATTTCGCATCACCAGTTGTTTTCTCTCAGAACTCAAGTTCATCCTTTTTGCGATTAGTGCGTTCTCTGCCGTAGCGTTATGGTTAGTAGATTGATCGAAGCAAAACACACCGATACACCCGGGGTGCAATATTTCAAATGCTGGGATTACTTTATTCACAAGCTGGTCAAGCATATGCTCCGCCTTCCAATATCCATCCACCTGAACAGAACGAATCACAAATGTTTCTTTATCTTTAATATACAGATTTTCATATAGCTGTTGGTCAAATAGATGTAGTAGTCTGTGGCAAGGACACAAAAAAGCAGAGACCATTATAGAATGTCCCAGATGTTTTGGGCACAAAATATTTTTGCCTTTCTGAATCCAAATTCGTTGCCGCCCATTGTTAGCATAGAAATAACACTCATCATATGTTATTTGAATGTATTCTTTCTCTCCTAAATTGAGCTGAGGTTCTAATACAAATTTTAATAACTCACCAACAAAATCTTTTATATTTTTTTTATACACGAACATTCTCTTTACCCATTCATTCCTATACGTCACCACATCTGGTCTCTCATGGCCATCAAAGTAAATACCCTTTCTTCTCTCATCATATTTAAAACCCCACGAATACATATAATTTCTACACGTCCTCTCCGATATAGTGTCTTTTTTGATATAGCCAATCAATTTTGGAAATAGTGTATCCTCAATATATGCTTTCAAATTACTAGGCGTACGTACTTCCGGTTTTTGTTGCCTTAACCACTCTTTACAAGTTTCACTAAAATTCTCATCGTCAATCAAGCTTTCGAGTTTGGTATGTTTACCTTGGCGGTAAAGAAGAAGCTTTCCTGTCTTTATGTAATAATTTCCCTATATCCGAACACATTTAGCCATATAACTCCCTTTATTCCATATGAAACGTGCAATTTTGTCAGCAGCATCCATTTTACCTTGTTCTTCTAACAATAATTATATATATTGACGTATACTAAGAAAACGTAAATGATCATATGTAAAGATTTTACTGTTCTTCTTCACAGATTTTCCTATCGAGCATCGTTGGTTAAGTTCTTCCAAATGGATACGTAAATTTTCAGTCAACCACAAAGATGAATCTGGTATAATATTGGAGAGGCCATAATGATAAGAATTCTGAAATATAAGATTCTTGACAAATTAGTTGAGAAGTTGTTAATGAACTCAGTTGAAAAAATGTTTCAAGTTTTTTGATTCCTTTTGTGTTCTCTTCATCATTTATTTTATTTTTTTTTTGCCTCTACGTTATCGTTCTTGAGGTCCCAGTGTATACTATTCTAAGGTTTCTTGCAGTATCCTTATGTCATCTGAGAATTTCACTGAGAAGCCTTGTTTCTACTCTCTCGAATTCTACTAGTTTATCTTCTGTCCATTCCTCTTGCGATTCAACTGTGATTATATTTTGTGACTCCATGAAAATTCGGTTATTTTGGTTAAGATAGCGACCTTTCTCTCTTGGCAAATTACTTATTTGCTTTTGCCTTTTTGTTCAGGATACCATAAAAACGGACAAAGAAGGACGGTCACCAATCAATTATATTTTCTTATAAATGAACGGTGGCCCGAAGTGCTTCCAGTTCTTTGTCGTTATTCTATTTGCAATGTCAAAGACCCTTTTTATCATTAGTCACTGATCACGCTTCGGTTCTGCAATGAATGGCTCAGCGCATATTTAACTATCCCATATAGTAATTACGCCAAGAAATTTTTTTTTTTTTGAATCATTGCGTTTTTTCATATGAATTAATCAAAAAAAAAAAATTTGAACATGAATAATCACGAATGATCAATCATATAATAACTAAAAAAATTGTAAATTATACCAATAGAGTACTATTGACAAGACAAAATTAGCTCATATACGATTTTTTTGTCTTTTATTGGTTTTTTGGTTTTGCAGAAGAAAAATCATTAATAATTTCTCCCCTTGTTGGTCCTGGGTTGTATGTGCGTACATGCGTACGTACATAAGGTTGATGCGAGTACTACGCAGCTATGATCATTTTGCTGAATACTTATAGCGTCAAAAATGTAGGTATGTACTTACGTACTTTATGTGCTGGTTTTACTAATTTTATCTCCGGTTTCTATTTGACCTACGTATTGATTAGATTTTAAAACTGATTGTATATGAAACTAGTGCGAAGATCGAATAGAGCACTAAACTAATATTGTCAATTACTTACGATTGTATTTCTGTATTTATATAGTTTAGAATACTTGGAAAATGAAACCTCGCAAAAAAATGTTTTTGGTTAGGTTGTAATTTTTGTATTACACATAAGTCTTTTAATAGCAAAAACTGTCCAATTAGAAGAAGTATAATGATGCAATATGATTGGCTATTA